CCCCCCCCCCCTTTCCCCATGGAAAACCCTTTAGTTTGACAGAAGTATGTCTATCAAGACAAACTACTGCAATAGCTCATCTGAATGGATGATCTGTTAGCCCATATTTATACACAGACAAATTATCCGAAGACGAAGTGCCATTCTTTGCCCAAGTTCATCCGGATGCCATATGACATTTCCACCTCAAGAAGGACAGATTGTTTCAATTTCCGGTATCACAAGACAATGTAGATTGTAGCTCAAATTGACTTATGTTAATTGACTATTGAGCAAATTCAATGGTCAATATCTAAGCTTAACTAGAGTAGGCTCATATTGCAAGTACGAAGCTCGAGTAAAGGCTCTTCTTGGAGCATTTAGTTTTCTTTTGAAATAGGTGCTCCCAGGAATTGAAGCTGTGCTCCTAGCATTTTTAGCTGAGCGCCTAAAATTTTGGCAGTGCACTTAAAAATTTACACCTGGTCGCACAAGTGCTCCTAAAGCCAAAAATCAACTTTGAGCCCTGCCTGAGATTGCTGTAAATTTACGCATCCATACTCCCAGGTCCCACTTGTTTTTACTTTTTTTATCATCTTAGCATGGAGAGGTGAAAAGGATGTGAAAATGTTAGTGTGGGCAAAAATACAGTGTACTTTACTTTGTTTTCTTTGAGATGAAAACAGAGACTTTTGAAAATGTACTATTGTAGCTGGGGCCTTACATATATATATATACAAGGAGCTAATAGTAATAAAGTAAACCTGTAGAATCCTGTGATGTCACAACTGAAACAAGATCTTAATCACTGTCCATTCAGCTTATAGTGGCGATTCCACTTAAAGGGAAAGTTGAGTGTACATTAAAGCTGTCTTGTGTTTCAGATGCAACAACGCATCCATCGGTAAATTCTGTTCTTGTTCGGATTTGACAATGCCGAACAAAATCTACTCCCTCGACAACTGTATGACCCTAATTTTCAAGTCTGATGAGTCAAAGAGAGCTGAAGGCTTTGAAGCAGAGTACACCTCAATAGATAACAGCACAGAATTGGATCCTAATTCAAACTGCAGGTTTGTATCATGTTCCCAAGTGGTGGAGAGTGCATTTGTATTTGGAGTGCTCCTGACTACTAGTAGTAATCTATGCAGTTGCAGTAGTTGACTGTGTTTCTATCTCACAGTAGACCCTCTGAGAAAATTTAGCCAGAATTTTCAGTACCGATCAGAAGAAACCTAACATGGAACACTTCACAGAATGCATTCTGTTTCCGTTTCACATGCATACCCGTTCCCATTCTGTATCCGTTCCGTATCCATTCCGTTCCCGTTCCCTTTCCATTCCCATTCTGTATCCATTCTGTATCTGTTCTGTGCTGTTCTGTTCCCGTTCTGTTAGCGTTCCATCGGTAAACGTTCTTGGAACTTGTTCAGAAGAACCAGGTTTCAGAGACGTCATTTACAAGATGAGGGACGCTCATTTGCATTTTATGAAATGGGTTAAAACTGCCGCACTTATGCGAGAATACGAACAGTAAACTTAAATCTTCGATACAAAGCGACCAGTAGACTGTGTGATTGCCCAAGGAAAGGAAGAGGTAAACCAGCTTGCCGAGCACTTTTAACGCCATCGATGAAAAACTGCAAGCAAAAGACGAACTTTCGGTTCTTGTATTTACACAAACACTTTTAGTGAGATTTAACATTGAAGTATCACCAAAAACTGTTTGGCAAATGTGGAAGAAACTTGGCTGGAGGACGCAAGCAGTGCAAAGTACTGACAAAAAGCCTAAGCAAGCATTTTGTGATACTTTTACTGATGTTATTTTCACAGGCGAGTGCTCAGTTAAGATTGAATGTTATCCTCGCCGATCCTTCTGCAAAGTTGGTGAACAACACTGTAATAAAGGTCAACCAAAACATTTATGTTTTGTTTTGTTTCTCTTCATGAGGAAACCCTTCAATCCCAGTCTAACTCGACTCGTCAATCCATTTCCTTACGTGGACATAAGTTGACAATAACAAAATGGCTGTGATGAACACGAAATGGACAAGAAGATGCAGGGAAAATGTTTGCTTAGTGGGTGTAAAAAGAAATGAAAAAAGACATAAGATGATTTACTCTGTCATTTTCTCAAGATTGCCGGGCTGGACAAAAATTGGACGAACTTGTATTTAAAGTTACATCGTTTCTGAATCCTTGGTAAGCACTCTGATGGCATAACTTACTAGCATGTGTTCTGAAGAATGCATTCTCTTATGGTTTGCTTTCTGGTGAAAGCTTTTTTCCATTTTTGTGATTCGTAACCGTTCCGTATCCGTTCCATTTTCGTTCGGTATCTGTTCTGTATCCGTTCTGTACCCGTTCTGTACCCGTTCCATTCCTGTTCTGTTCGCGTTCTTGTATCCATTCTCTATCTGCTCTGTTCCTGTTCACAAACGTGTTCCCTGTTAGGTTTCTTCTGATGGGTGCTGTATCAAGTTTATTGTTTGGAATCCTTGTCAATCTTCCCCAATCTGAACTACATGTATCTTTGTCGCTGTTTTGTTCTTTGTTTTCTAGCTTAGTACCTTATTTATTATTGGTAAGCTGATTTTAGAGTGAAGAATAGTGTTTTCACCAGGCCTGTAAATTACTTGTGAATAAATTATAAGGGTGCAAAGACTCCTAATACTGTAGTCTGCACTTGGCATTTCTTCAAAATTGGCCCAAGAAACTTCACATTCCTGTTGGGAATGTGACAGACAGAATCCACCAGTGGGACTGTAAAGTAGATGCACTAAGTGCCAGGCTATTGGATATGACTTCCTAGTTGTACATATGCATGCTGATTGTAGTAACAAATACAGACTGAGAATTACATGAGCATGCATTTTACAAAGACAAACATTTGAATGGGAAGTTGTTTCATAATAGAGTTAAAGATTGTGTATAGTGTTACTTTGTAATTGTCCATGGTCCATGACTATGATAAGTGTCTGTTTGCGGCAATTGCCCACCCACACAGGGTGTCTGTTGGCAGCTAATAATAATTTATAGCTTGACCTTTCTATCAATTGTAGTAGTACCAAGCTCCTGGGATCGTCTAATGGAACATTCTTCACTCCCAACTGGCCATTGACGTATCCTCCAGATGCTGCTTGTTCGTGGACATTTAGTCCTCCAGAAGAAAAGATTGTTCGCCTGTTTTTCATGAGCTTTGAAATGGAGGGAAAACATGAATGTGACGCGAACAGGCCGTCCGTGACTGCAGATGAAATACGCATTAATGGTGGGTAAAACAAAAGAGAAGCATACTAGATGTTTGCCCTTATAAGCTGGTTACACTGTAGTTAGAAATTAGTAGCCCTGTTTCGAGTCCTGACGTACATGTAACCCTCTCCACCCAGGTTTCATGCACCTGGGCTGGGTTGTTCAAAAGCCAGTTATTGCTAACCCAAGATTAAAAGCTAACCAAAGTATTCATTTTGTTGTCTAAAGATGTGTCTCACTGCTTTATATGTTTTGTATGGTTTGAGATTATTAAAACTCAGAACTGAAGGTCAAACATCGTAAACCAACAACCTCACCAAAAAGTTACAAAAATGAAATCAAAATTCGTGCTGATCCAGATTTAGCTTGAGAAGGAGGAAGTTTTACATCAAACCCTTTAACTTTTGCATCTATTTTATTCGTGAGTATCAAAGTGGAACTGTTTAAAATCTTCTGAACTACAGTCCATGTACATTCACTAGTCCTATAACAAATTATTCAGTGATCTGTTAGCAGATTAGGGCATACATGTACAGTGTACCAAGATCTAACAAACTTTCATGAATGGCTGTTTCAATAGATTATAGTTCAGACATGGCTCCGGTGGTCAGGGGACTACAACAAAAGAAATCACATTGAGGTTGATGCATGAATAAACTATGATTCTTTTGTTTTTGCTGATGCTAATCCTTGGCGCCATGTTAGAATTTTTACTATATCAAAATTGACCCAATCTCTGCTGGTACTTGTGGTAAATGAGAGTTTTTAAGTGTCATGAACTAATAATTGTTAATCATTGCTAGGAGCTTCTTAATAATTTGCACAGAATGATCAAGGCAACTTTCTTTCTTCAAGGTACGAATTCAACAGGGGGTAAAGGTGACATTGTTCCAAGGATTTGTGCAAAGCCAGACACGCTCTATTACACTATCAAGCAAATGCGGGCAGTCACGGTCAGATTTTCATCAAATCGTAGAGATGAGTCTTCTGGAGCTATTGCTGGTTATGCTAGTTACAAAAAAGGTATGTTTTTCTTCACTGTTGAACATAATCTAGCCATTGAACAAATTTATCTCAAACCTTTCAGGGCCAGTGGACATAATTATTTAATAATTGTTGTTGATCGGAACTAACAGTTACAGTTGTAGAACTTCCACACTGAAAGCAGACAATACAGGGCCGTCAGCGCTTGAGTCGGTGTTGCCTTGATCTTCACACCTGCAACACTCTTGTTACTTTGTGACACTACTGTCTGGCATGTCACGTGCCAAACTTTAAGATAAACAGCCTTGAATTTCTGTTACATAGATACTTGAGTTTAGAAATCGCAGAAAATGTTTAGAAAATAATTTTTTGAAAATAATTGTTGTGAAATGATGAATTCTTTTCCCTACTTTTTCTATAGATACTTTCAACTCATCATCTCCTGGGTAAGACAAACATGTTATTTCATGATTGTTGTAAATATATTATTATATATGGGTCGATAGGGCTCGACACTTACTCTTATCCACTGTCCTTTGGAAAGTAAAGTTACTTCTTGGAAAGTGAAAAATTGAAAAAGAACCAAAATACTTATCTGGTCTGAAGTAAATTTTGGGCTATGCTGGAAAGTGCCTTTTATCTTAAAAAAGCTTCAGCGAAAGACATGTACACGTATAAAAAAATAATCAAAAACTTATGAAAAAAATAATCAGATCCAACAATGATTTTCTGTCTTCAAAAGGACGGGTTCACACCATTCTAGCATTTACCGATCCGTCATATTGGAGTATTGAGAGAGCTGCTGAGTTACCCACCTGAATCAACGATGAACTTGTACTACAACCAAAATACGCCATTTTTCCATCACTGAAGTGGGGGGAGGGTTGGTTGTAATTGCGTTTGACAAAGTGAAACACAAACCTAATTTTGACCTGTGGCTTTCCAGAGTTGGTCTCCTTGTGCATGGTTGTAGGCCAAAAAAACCACATTCCTGTAAGGACACCAAAATGGCCACCCCGCTTGATTTTTGCAGGGGCATGCCACGGCCAGTAAACTGGTACCGTTTAATGTTAAGACGTGATAAGAAATGTGGCAAACATGTGAGTATGTGAGCAGGCCATGTGAGTTCATCTTTCTGCTGGATCATTTTTTGACTTCTTTCCATTCAGTCGCCATACGCGTTGCTATTATGTGCTCGCAGCGTTAGATTTTGGTGAATTTAAACACTTTGACGGTAGCATTTATCGAAATCTGAGGGAATTGTCCTTGTTTATTAACACAACTTGGCTTTGGGATGATAACCGTGGGAACAGCTACATTTTGATTGCATATGTTGATTAGTTCCAGTCGCAACAGATAGCTCAGTCTTTATCCGGTCGAAATTTTATTGTTTGGAATCGGTGGAAAAGTACTCTGAAGGCAAGACCCATAAGACTACTTTATTCATCAGGGGAAATACTCGAATTAGTCACATGGAGAGTTTGTTTTCGATAAACGACCATGCGAAACCAGCACGTGATTGCAAATGCTAGCTTAGAGTAATGTACGTAATTTAAATATTCTATGAAACTTGAGAGTCTACAGAAACTGGTGGTGTCACGCAACGTATCAACAAATCGTGACCTCTTCACTAGCATGGACTTTGACACTATGCATATCTGACTGTAAAACCTCGGTTGCTGCTGAAACATGTTGATTTTAGCAATAGAGAAAGGTTGAAAGTCAGCTAGTGAAATCATTTATTTATGGTAAATATATATTAAAGATAGAGCGTCGAACACACTCTCATAATCTCTGATTACTACTAGTTTTTTAATATTTAAATTGACCAAGATTGTAGGTGTCCCTTAGCTGAGGTTTGACTGAACTGTAATTCAATGTTCAGGGAGATTCCTAGTAATCGGTGATAAAGGCTACATGAATGCCAGTTGCAATGTCAAGCTAACAATCCTTTTTCTCTGTAATTGTAATGGTGTGTTTTATTTTCTTAAGCTGCAAAGCCATCCAGGTCCCTGAATCCACAGCCAGTACTGAAAGCACTACTCAAAGTACCAAAGCCTCAGGTAAAGGATCTACTTGTGAGAGTCACATTTGCGCCATGTGTTCTACAGACAACAGTACAACAAAATTGGCCAAGTACTTCTTATTTTGCTCTCTGAATGCATTGCAAGCCTAAGATGCTGGGCAATATTGACACGTTAATCATAGTAGCCAAAATACTCTCTCTTTGATAAACGCTTTATCTTAGTTTGTTAATTCATTAAGCCTAGGCTAGTCAAGCTTTTGCTCATGAAAACTAATTTTTGTATTTTAATGTTAAATAATGTTTTCATATATATTCCTTTTTAGGAAAGCAGACATTAGCAAAACCTTTGGGTGTAGTTGGTGCTGCAGTCCTTGCAGTTGCAGTGTTTCGGTAATTATTACAATGGTAGGATTTAATAGTGCGAGCATCCTTCCATAAATCCTCTTGGTAAAGATCTGAAGGTGCACTAATGGAAATGCAATGAAAATATTACGTGGTTCTAGTCCACAAGGGGCGAAGTGTGTACCCTCCTCTTAGGGTGTGCTTTTCAATTTGCAGGTTTGAGGCCTGCAGATGTCTTTTACTGTTTTAGATAAGTACGAGAGAAGAAGGAGTACAAGCATGTATTCCAGCATTTTCCACAGACCATTGACTTGTGATTCACAATTAATCTCTTTGACTTGCATGACATGCGTAGTTCATTCATAGTACTTGTGGTCGAATGAGAGTGCTAAAAAATTTTTTTAAGGATTAAGCCCTTTACCTTTTCATTCTACTATTGCTAAATTAACTACAAAAGAGATAGATTTTGTAAAATTGCCACTTCCATAGCTTTCTATTTGAATGGTCATCATAGGGTTTCACTAAATGAACAAGTTAATCCTTGTGGTGCATACTCTATTCAGTTAAATAAATTATGTGCATAAAGATACATTAGTAACACACCTAAGTCGAATGGTGTGCATTCAGCTTTTCAGTGACGATAATTTGTAAGTTACAACTTGAAATGAAGTTGTAGCTCAGTAATATAAGCTGTGATAGAACTTACTGTTAGTCTTGAAATACATGTAGGTATGCCACTAGGGATACCCTTGAAAAATTAAGCAGAAATTTAAAAGTCCATTGTGGAGGCGGCGTGGCCGAGTGGTTTAGGGCGCTGGATTTGAAATCTGGAGGTCCCCGGTTCAAATGTGGGAGGCGCAGTGGCCTCATGGTTAGTGTGCTCATCTCCGGATCAAGCGGTCCCGGTTCGAGCTCTGGCCGGGGACATTGTGTTGTGTTCTTGGGCAAGACACTTTATTCTCACAGTGCCTCTCTCCACCCAGGTGTATAAATGGGTACCGG